CGAGTCCTTTAAGCCCTCAAAGTGGTGCGGAAAGTCCTGGAGGCGGTGGAGGAAGACCTTGCACAAAACCTCGGGGGAGCCATAGAGGTGGATTTGTTCTTCCACCCATGGACCAAACATATCATGTTTGGCACATAGGCTAAGGAGCCCCTTGGTTGCCGCCTTCCCAGGCCAGTGCTTGTGCTGCGCTTCTCTCCAGCGGCCCCCGTCGTACAAACAAACCTGGACGTAGTCGGCCGAGCGCAGCTTTGCACTTTGAAGCGCCATGTTCTCGGCGCGTGTGCGCGCCAAGGTCGGGAGGGCCCAACCTACATTGTGCTCCCCAAGATCCGACAAGCGGATATGGCAGGCACTCAAAAACGCGACCACACTTAACAAAGCCAGGAGGTCCGGGACATCAAGTGTCCTAAGCCTTCCCTGCGGAGAAGCCACAGGGATGACCCGCCTGTAGAAAACCGCGCGGCCCCGTAGGGTAAAACCCTTGCCATGGCCATTCTCTGACAGGGTGAGCAGAACATCACCAGAAGTCCCCGGTCGAGGGATAAAGGTGAAATCTCTGGATAGTCCCTCCAGAAAAATCTGCTCCTGGCCCATGTCCTCGGCGAGCCCCAGTTTGAGGACCTGAAAATCGGCTCCAAGTCCCCATTGAGCCGGGGGCTCCGGTGACACGACTGCCACCTACCCCCAAAACGGCCCATACCCCTCCATGCTCGTCCTCCAGCTCCGCCGGAGTGTAAAAAGTCCAAGGCGTGCCAGACGAGCCCTTTTTGTTAAGGGACACGCCTCGGAGGGATCTCGGGATCTTCAGGGGCTGCTTGTAGAGAAGCTCCAAGGGAACCTCCGAACCTGGCTCCCTTCTGAGGTCCTCGCCCTTGATTCCCGGATCTGGGCCTGGAAGGGACTCCGCTGGGGATGGAGCCTCCTCCGAAAACTTGGTGGTGGCCGGTGAGTTTGCCTCAACCTGGTCACTGGGGACAGGATCTGGATGAGGTGAGGGTTCCTCAACCTGCTCAGGGACCAAAGAAGAGGCTGGCTCAGGTGAGATCTTCTCAACCTGTGTTTTGGAAGCCTTGCCTTCTGTATCCGGCTTGGGTGCCGGTGAGGTAACCTCAACCTGGGAGCTCTGGGCAGGCTCCTGCTTAGGAGAGGTCAGTACCTCTTCCTGCTCATGCTCCGAGGGAGAGGCCGGTTCAGGCGAGACCTTCTCAACCTGGGTTGTGGCGGCCGGGCCTGGATCACCAGCATCTGTATCCAGCTTGGTTGCCGGTGAAGGAACCTCAGTCTGAGAACTCTGGGCAGGTTCCTGTTTAGGAGAGGTCAGCACCTCATCCTGCTCAGGCCCCAAAGGAGAGGTTGGAGCAGGTGAGACCTGCTCAACCTGATTTGTGGAGGCTAGGCCTGGTTCATCAGCATTGGAAGGCGAGGGCACCTCAGCCTGCAGATTGGAACCGGAGGCTCTTGGCGAGGCCTCCTCAGCCTGGGCCTCTGTGCGTTGCCGCTTTGGCGGTGGTGGTGGTGGGGTTCGGGCTACCCCCGGCTTGGGTGCGGCTTTTGGCCTCGTGATAGGGGCCTCAACCGACCTTGACAAGTTGGGACCAGAAGCCGGAGGTTCCCGGTCAGTACCTGAATGTTGGCTTTGCCTGGAGTACCTTGATCTCGAAATAGCAGGTTTGCCCTCACTAAAACGATGCTGCAAGAGGGCCTGGTACCGCTGTTCCGTTACCGGGTCCTCGAAAGGGGCATTCTGCCCCTTCCCTGGCTTATTCTTCCCTTTTCCTTTACCCATCTTGGAGCCAAAAGCTGCGAGAAGGCTCAGACATGGAGGGTTAGCAAAACCAGGTACGAGTAGCACTTAGACCAGGCTACATCTGCAGGCTTGGCGCAAACAGCACCTACCCCATCATCAGTAATGAGCTTGGAGGGGAGAAGTAAAGTTCGATAATGTCCAGAGGTCGGGGAGTTGCCTAAATGCGAGACCACGGCCTTGGGGTAGTAACGAAGAAGTTCCCCATCCAATCCCTCAAGCACACAAGGATCCTCAAAACCAACTGGGTTCTCGAGCCTCCGAAAACCCCCCCCTTCCCTAACAAACCTCAGAAGCTGCAATGCAATCAAAGGCGGGTGAGTAAGGATTTTCACTTCTCCACCTTGTTGCCAATTTGCCAGAAGTTCCCTCATAGAGACTTCGTGCTCCGGGAGGTGAAGAGGAAGTGGGAAAAGGTTACCCTCGTGGTGAGGTGCATTGGGAGCATGAGCTCGCCATGAAACGCAAGAGAGGTCACGGGGAAGCCCCGAAGAAAGGTGCATGAGAAGTTGACAAACATCATGCTGGCTGTTTGGGGATTCCCATCGACCCTGGCCTGCAACTAATCTCTTCCAAACCAGGGACTGCCACAGCTCGACTTTGCGCTGATCTTTCAACCATCGCAGGATGCCCTGGATGGGGGATCCAGCAAAGGGGCTGGAGGCTTCAAGGAGCAGGTCAACCCAAAAGAAACCAACCACCAGAGAATTGGTGTAACAATGGTTGGATGGATTTTGGAACTTCACCTTGCGAACAATGGAGCCAGCAGCCCTTAAGTCTCCAAGCTCTGGGCTTCCAGGATCCCGGTAATCGCGGACAGCAGGAGAGGGAGGCTCAATCCTGACGATGTTCTGCAAGGGAGGGTCATCGGGAGGGAGAGTTTGCAGGGGAGTGGCCTCAACCCTGTTAAGTGGTGTTGCAAAGAAGTTGCTAAGGTTTTGGGCTTTTGGGAGAGTCTCCTTAGAAAGCTTGCTAGCCTTCTTGGAGGCAGGTAGTGACTCCGGAACCCCTACGCCACTTAACAAACTCTTGGTGAACTTAGTCAGTTTGTTAGTGTGTTTACGGGTCACACACAGGGACTGGAGGAGCCCCGGGACTTTCTTTGCCCGCGCTGGCAAAATGCCTTCACACACTTTACACTGCCAAGCTTTGCCAATGGAAACAAGCTGATGGGAAGAGTGACAGGCCAGGTGCTCCGGGGGACGACCTTCCCTTCCCAAGCACGGCTGGGCAAGGACCTGCTGGAACAGTGAAGGAGGGTCCACTTGCTGCAGGTAAAGGCCACATTTCCCACACATGGCTGTGAGGTTCGTAGGGTGCTGACTCCGAATTTCCCACTGGTGTCCCAGCGGAGAGACGGTTTGGCTGACGAGTTGCTCAATCTGTTGCCTTTTGTTGAGGGTTGGAGGTTTTGGCTGGCGCTTGCAGAAAATAGTCTTCTTGTCCTGCGTAGTAATCAAAATCTCCGCCCTCTGGCTAAGTAGCTGGGAAAGGGTGGAAACCAGCGTGTCAACTTGCCTGACTTGCTTTTTGGCATCAGGGTGCAAAGCTTGGTCAGCCCTGGACCCAGCAAGTTGGTCAGCTTCCTGATTCAAATGCCAACGCCAAACCTCATCTTTTCCAAACTTTTCAGCAAATTTTCCTACATCCAAGTGGGCCTTGACCCAATGAAGATGTTGTGGGGATATGTTCTGCCATTGGGGTTTCCAAAACATGGAATGCTTGGATGTAACCGCCCTAGCTGCAGCCTGCTTGCAAGCTACCCGAGAGTCCGTAGTAAGATCCGTCAGGCCTGGGCAAAGCTCATGGGCCTTAACAATGGCATGAACCTCCCCATCTAGAACCGTGGCCGGCCGAGGCAAAACCCCGCTCGCAGTTGCAATAATTGTGATGCTTTGGCCCGTTTTGCGTGCTAGAATCACAGCCCATCCAATGGTCCGCAATCTGGGATCGGAAGAAAATTTTCCGCCACTGGCATCAGTACCAATGACAAGATCCGAGTCCCAGGGCTGTGACGGCCAGGTGCCCGCATACCTATCCTCAGCGTTCTGAAGTGGCGAGGAGACATAGGCAAGAGGGGGAAGGGCTCGCAACCAAAGGCAGGGCGCAGGATGGGACTGACGCATTTGTTCAAGATGCCTGGGAAGCTTTGGCTGTCTGGCCCATCTGGGGCAGTCCCACAGCACATGTTGTAGTGTGTTTTCTGAATCAAGGCCCCGATCCTTACAGTAAGGGCACTTGGGGTGGCCACCACTTCCCGCATGCACAACTGCACCTTGCCAGATTGACCTGTAGAAGGTCAGACGTTTGGTCTTCTTTAAAGCAATGCGGCGATGAATTGTGAAATCTACACCCTCCTGAGCTCCTTGGCCGCCATGTTGGCCAGAGATGGCTCGCAACCTTTCGCTCTTGATGGTAGACCGAATCTTGCGCCGCAGCTCCTGAAAAAGAAAGGGGCTGAAGTCAACGGGCCAGGGGTGGCCATCAATATGCCAGACTTCCGGGGACTGGACATCCCATCCCATATCCCTGGCATACTGAATCATGGCCGAAATGGGTCCGGCAACGATTTTCCAAGGGTGAGGCGAAGCCTCCAACCTGGATTTGACCAAGGGCCAGGACCTTTGAACTTCCTCCCAAATGGAAGGAGAACGGCCAAGAATACGAAGAAAAACTTGCAAATGCTCACAAATGATCTGCTCTCGGGGATCCGGAAATCTGTGGGAGAACATCTCCAAGACGGTCAGGGTTCCTCCTAGATGTTGGCGTCCTAAGCTACCAGCCAGCACAGCGCGGTGCCATTTCAACCGTTTGGGACTAACACCCTGTGCCTGATGGCCATAGGTGGCACATGTCATGATGGATCCGCGCACAACCCTCGTGCGTGAACAATGCGAATCAACACCTAAAGCACGAAGGCGCTTGTGGCGGCCTTGCGCCTTCTTGTGCCTGCCCAGAGAGGTGGCAAGCCTGCGGCGTCTGCCAGCATTGCTGTCAACCCCTAAGTCTTTGGCTAACAGAGTAATGCCAGGATCTTGGTCTGAACGCAGACGCGCAAGAACTTGAGAGGTGGCAGAGTCTGAGCAAAGAAACTTGGTTTTTTCCAAGGAAACCTGAAGATTTCGTTCCGCAAGAGAGTCTCGCAGTATACGAAATGTCTTGAGGGCTTTGTGAGCCGTGTTAGAAGCAGTGGACCCTACCACGTCAGCCGAAATGTCATCAAGCCACTGGTCGATGTTGTGAGTGAGGCCAGTAGCCTGAAGGTCCCTGATTGGGACAAACAAAGCCAGTTTCGAAACCACCGGCGCAACAGGGCAACCCTGAAGCAACCCAACTGTGGGAATGATTCCCGGCGAAACCGAATTTTCGGCTGAGACAAATCGTGTCCCACCATAAATTTGAAGGGAAAGCTCCAAAAGCAAAGGTGGGAACTGCAACAGGAGTCCGGTGTCGACTACCGAGGCCCAAACTACACAATCATAGAAACCTTTGATATCAAGAAAGAGTCCTACAAAGTGTTTGGACTGAGTTCGGGAGGCTTCGGCCCACAGCAACCGGCGGATGCCGATGTCTAAAGATGTTCGACCTGGCACTGCGGCATCCCAAGGAGCCAGGGCCTGGTAGGAGACCGTCCACTCTTGGATCAGGGACCACCTGGCTCTGCAGTAGTCCCTCCACAAAACGTGAGTTAAAGAGATAGGTCTCTCAGCAGTAGCCGATTTGGGCAGCATACAAACTTGTGTCAGGAGAAACTGCTGCGGGACTCGGAGGCCTCTTTCGAGCTCCTGATAAAATTCAGCGATGTCCTGAAGCATTGGCCAAGTCAATTTCTTGAGAAGGGACTTGCTCCAGCCGTCCGGTCCTGGGGCAGTGACCCTGCCTTTGGAAAACCTTTGTTGCAGCTGTTCCGGGGAAATGGGGCTCAGGGTAGCGACCTGCTGAGCAGCCAGTTCCCGTAGCTTTCCGCGAGCCTGTTGCTCTGCGTGTGGAAGAGGAGGAAGGTCCTCAACTCTAAGTACGCCTTTCCAAGTGCGGAGCCATAGTTTGGTTCTAGCCAGGGCGCGGACCTCTGCGGACAGATCCCGAAAGGGACGTGCAGTGGTGATTTCACCTTTTTTGATCGTCTTGAAAAGGGGAGCCATCCCTTTTTCTTGGGCTCCCTGCAACCACGACCTGTACGACTTGGTCTGGGCATCCTGGTGAACTTTAGAGGCCAGCAGAAATTGCTCCTGCAATAATTGCTGGACGGGCTCGGGAACAGCAGCCTGCTCCGAGAGACAGGCCTGGAGCGTAGAAAGAAAAGAAACAGCCTCCTCCGAGTTGCCCTGCCAGTGGTCCAGGATCTGCGGCAAATACTCCTGGCATTGCTCTCGACGTTTGGGGTGGTCTCCCTGGCACAGGAATTGTACCCGGTGCCAAAAAGCCTGGCAAGAACCTTCCCATGCGAACTGGGACATGCGAGGAACAGCAGGGAGGAATTCAACTTGGAGTTGGCGACCAATACCCTGGGACGATTGCAAAAGACTGTGCTCCACCGAACTGGAAATGGAAGCCAGTCGATTGCTCAGGGGGTCAGCCGAAAAGGCGGTATCCGGCAAAGAGGCGAGGGTCTCCTCAACCTGTATATAATCAAGCGGTTCTTCCCTGAAGGAGAGCACAAAGGAGGGAAGCTGTGGAGTGGTGAGCTGGAAAGCGCCCACATTGAGGGCAACTTGGATTGCTGCATGTGGCTTGAAAGGAACATCCCAGGAGGCATCAACCCGGAGCAAACCTTCCAGGCAGTGTGATACAGCCAGAAAATCAAGCTCATTGTCACCACAGGTGGCTTGGTTGGGCCCAATTGGTTCCAGGGACAAACTTTGAAAAATGGCAGTGTCCAACAAATCCTTCAAAGGCGAGTTCCAGTCTCCACCTATCAGGATTGGGCCCCTCACAGATTGACGAATTGCGCGCAGAGATGCAAGGATGTCAGAGTTGACCGGGGACCCGAAGCCGGAGGAAGACTGGAGGTACAGGCTAACTACTGTCAAGTCAGCCCCTTGTGTGCGTAGCGTCACCGCCACGTAGCCACAACCTTGGTTGGTATACTGACCTCGCAAACGGGCTCCCAGGTGGGCTCTAACTAAAACCCCAACTCCGCCTCTAGAGCTATTCCGTCGGCCTTCCCCAGGGGCTGCGGGCAAAAGGAAGGAGTCGAAGCCCATGGCAGCCATAGACGAGATTTCAGCAACAACTTGGGACTCCAAAAGATGGTGCTCCTGAATCAAGATAACATCCCCTTGAGCTGAAAACCATTGCTTGACTTCTGGTCTCCAAGAAGTAATGTTGCAAGATGTGACTCGCATTTGCCTGTGCCCCTGTGGCTGCGATTTGCACAAAACTTCAAAGCCCCGAGCAACAAGCAAGAGCAAAGTCAAGTCAAAAGAACGTTGGAGGGCCAAGATCTCCTGGCACAGCCACCAACCTAAGCTGCCCTGCTCAACCTGATCAAGAAGGTGGCCGACAACCTCTGAAGTTGCTCCCAACAGATCTGGGTTCTGGACAGCCTCCCACACCTGGCCTTCGAGTTTTCGCCACTGGCTGTGTGGGCTTGCCAAAGGTGGCACCTCAGGTGGCATTTCACAAGGGGCAAGCTGAGAAAAGGGTACCCTAATGTGTTTGGGCTTTTTCGCTCTGCGTCTGGTTTTATTACGTTTGCGGGTGACCCCAACCTCGGCATGGCTCCCCGACGCCTGTAAGCGAGGAAACTCCTCAACTTGAGATGCCGTTGCTGAGGTTGTGGCCACAAAAGCAGAGATTGGAGAAGCACCGGTCACAGGGACCTCATCAAACTCAGTTGTCGAGAAAGATGGGGGCCAGAACTGGGGCCCTGTGATGAGTTGGGTGTCCTGGGACTGCAGCGGGGTGCTGTGGCGCAATCCTTTGGTAACAGTCTGCCAGGCACTCAGATCCCCACAAGAATCCCATTCTTCCTGACCAGAAAAACCTGGCAACCAAAACTGACCCCATACAAGGTCTGTGTTGCAAAATTGTGAGTAAGCCTCAACATACCCTGAAACCTTCTCTAAGGACTTGGGCTGCTGAGGTTGGCACTCCCCCAATGAAAACAAATCACTGTACAAAGAAATGGGTCGCTTAACCGATTCGCCGGAAAACCCGCATGGCTGAGAGCTGGACGCAGGGGCACAGGAAACGTCTTGATCAAGCTGAAGGGCAGGCTGAAATGCACAAGCAGGTTGCCCACTCTCCCCACTTAAAGGACCTTCCTCGAAACCAGACCTAACCTGGACCCCCAGCCCCACTCCCTAACCTTGCTGCGTGCTACGGCCTCGGCTCCTGGACCTGGGCTTGGTTTGCTCATGCGGCTCAGTGCCCTTGTGTTCTGGCAGAGTTTGGCTCAGCGGGGCACGGGTCGGAGCCGTCAAACCAGGCTGGTTTGTGGCTTCAACTTCCATATTCTGCTGCCCATCATTAAGCTTGCCGCGCTGGGCCTCCTCGTAAAGCTCCTTCTGCTCCTGGGTCAGGACAATTCCAACTTTGGCAAGCGTATCTAGAAGCCCTTCCAAGGGATCGTCCTTGCGCGCGGGGTCCTCCAGACCCGAAGCATCAGCACGGAGTGTGGCTTCCAACTCCGACTGCATAGCCGTGACTTCAGCTTGTTTGCTCTGCAAATCAGATTGGCAGACCTTCATCTTCTCAAGCAGCTCCTGGTAGGTTGCTTTGGCGCGGTCTATGCGAATCTGTAAGGCAGCAGTTTGCTGGATCATCAGTCGCAAGTCCGTAGTGCTCTGCTTAAAGCGACGAGTTGCAATCTCAATCTGCTGAGTCTGCGTGGGGGCCGGAGGATCAAGTGCTGCAAGGGCTTGCTGGATCGAAGGCGGCATTGACTCCAAGTGCTTCTTGCAAAGGGCCGCAAGGTCTGTTGGCTCCGACGCAACCGGCTCAGGGATGCCAGCTTGGCGCATCAGCTTCTTCTGATCATCAGACGCAGAATCCCACAGGTTCTTAGAGGCTTCGGCCTGCTCGTCAAGCCCACCCTTTGCCCCGTTGCCTTTTCCAGACTGGAGGCCTGGAGGCGGACTCGGCTGCCGGCCTGCTTGGAAACCTGCCTCGCTCAGTTCCTTCTGGACCTCTGGGGGAAACTTCAGCCAAAGTGTCGTGACGGCTTTGGAGAGGTTGCCCTCTTGATTCCTAGGCCGTTGGGGGCTTTGGGTGGCACTCTCAGTGGTTGCGCTTCTGTCCCTGTTCTTCTTGGGACCCCGCGGGCGCAGTCTTTGAGTGACCGGAGCACCCTTGGTCTTCCAGGCGTTGCCACACAGGTTGCAAAAGGGGTGGTGCTGGACTCTGTCTACGAAAATCCAGCTCTGCTTACCCGCCCTAGAGCAGTGAGGACAGACGATGTAGGGCGTTGCTGCACCCTTGGCACCATTTTTTCCCCAAGTCATGGCGAGCAAGCTCAACCTGTGACAACGGCTGAGCAAGTGTTCGGCTTGAAAGCACGTGCAGTATGGCGCTACCCCGCCCCAACCCTTGCTGGACAGCCAGCCTACGACCTTTAAGGTTGCGGTTTGGGTTCCAGTCAGGGCCTTTAGCAAAAGTAGGGACTCCAGGCTAAAAGGCCACGTCGGCACTGCAAAGTCTGAGCCGAAAACTTGAGCCAGGATTGAAAATCAACTCCCCCTCATGAACCTGTCGTCGAGAAAAGGTACCGGTCCACTGGCTGCTGTTGCGTATTGGGCTCGTAGATCTTCTCACGGTCCACGATAGTTTTATGGCTCTTCCAAAAACGGCTGCGGCTGTACAAAGAGGCGTCAGCACCTACCAAGCACTCAAAGCCCTAAGAGCTGTGTGAGCAAAAGCTTCGGGGTAGTGCTGGGTGTTCTTCAGAACGAACATCTTACTGTGTTCGTGGTTTCCAGGACACTTTAATTTATCCATGCAGTGAATGAGAACATGACTGTTCGAGCACAACCTCCAAACCTTCTTCACAGGAAGTGCGTCCATTCCAACCATGCCGCAAGCACAACCATGCACAAGAGCGGTCTCATGCGGATTGATCTTAAGGAATGATTTCGTAGCGGACCATCCCCAGTAAGCACAACGCTGCGGCCATTCAATGACCCAAGTTGCCGAATCAGATGTGTTGACTAGCTTCAAGAAGCTCTTCCAGAGCTTTCTGTGGACTGTGAAGAGTCCTTTCATTCTATCATCATAGTCATCTGCAGATCGGGATTGGTGATAGCGCTGCCAAGGCGAACCACCTGTACAGGGCGTCGAAGCCCACACAACAACATGCATGTCCCGACGGTGTGCTGCACGAAGGGCGTGCTCAATGAGCTCGATGGTCTCCGGGACAGTACCATCAGTTTCTTCCGTCACGGGAATAGCATGGATGCCATAGTGGCTAGCAAGCTTAGTCAACCAGGCTTCTCCAGAAGTGCAGAACTCGACCATCACAACGTAATGCGGTGTCTGCAACCGACAACGACCAACCAACACACTCCAAGGATCATCGACGCTTGCAGAAAACAAACCTTTGAACGCGGCAAACACAAGGCAACGGACTGGGGGCGTATCACCTCGAAGATAGTCACTACGGGTGAGACGTTCCTCAAGACACAACTGTCCTATGTGGTACCAAGTCTGCGCGACACTCAAGTTCTTTGTTTGCAAGTCGGCGACGTTATCCGTTCCTGGGACGTGTGTAACCAGGATCTCGCCGTTCTCGACCTTATCCTGCAAGTAGCAGAGACGAAGGTCCACATGACGCATCCTCCTCAGGAAGCCGGACATCATACTGACCTGGCGAGCGGAAGAGCTGTCCGTAGGCAGGTATAGGGGTTGCGCAACGCTTTCGAAAAGGTGGCCCAAAAGCTGCCCCAATCCTACAAGCTCGCGCGCCATCTCAACCATAGCGAAAAGCTCAGACTCCGCACTGGAGAGTGCTACGATAGGCTGGAGCCTCGAGTAAGTCTTGATACAGTTCCCATTCAAGTAAATCACTCCTCCGCTGGTGCTCTTTCGTCCAGTAGAGCGCTCAGAGGCCCAATTTGCGTCGCTGAATCCAACGAGGGTTGCAGCTCCAGGTTGGGCTTTGGAGTCCTTTTGAAAGACCTGAACAAGATCGGGAACCTCCAAAAGCCAGCGAAGCACTTTACGCATACAATCCTCATGCACAGCGCGCGGACAAGCTTGACCTCTAGACAGCATGGAGTGAAAATAACACAAATCCCCCCTGGTTTGTACAAGCCAACCTAGTTTCCCCAAGGTGCTTCTAAAGCGGCTCGCGGCTTCAGGAGAGAGTTCCTCGGAGGGCTTCTCGGGGTCTTCCTTGTCAAGGATCGATCGGAGGTCTGGTGGCGCAGTGCAGGGCTTCATTTTCCTGCGGCTCTCCTGGCTCCAACCAAAAGCCTCAAAGATCGAATCGACGTATTCTTTCTTATTTCCTGTTCCACAAACACATGGACGATATCATGAATATTCCTCTTCACGTCACTCCAATATATTTCAGAGAACGAAATAAGAAATAAGATCGCAGTCACTCGCTCAGCAGCCTTCGTTTTGCTAGGATGATATTGCGCAATGCCGTGGGGTCGAAACGATCAAAGTTTGATATCTCCATCGGCCCCAAGATCAAGCATCCAATGCAAGACACATGTGTCGATGAGATAAGTCGAGAGCTTGCGCACCCGATCATACCCCCAGCACTGTGCGCACATGTAGCCGTTCCTTCAAACAAGCAGCCTCTCACCACTAGTATGCATCTGCTGAGCGCCTTGATTCAAGAGCCTTTTGCAGCAGTCGCGGCTTGGCTCGTCCGCTGGATTCGAGTGAGTCGGGACTCGCCCGAACCATGGCCTTGCCCGCCACCTGTGTTCAGCATCCAGGAAACGTTGGACCAGCTTCCTTCCATGATCCGTGCCCGAACGGCCCGCGATGAGTGCTGACTGAGCGGCTTCGTTATCAAGGTAAAAAACGGAAAAGGAATCCTCTAATAAGGGTCCCCAAATCTCAACTGCAACCAAGGCGGCATACAGTTCAACTTCATATATCGGATGATCAGAAGTTTCCTCAAGAGCCCGCAGATCGTCCTCGTTCACCTGTGCAGAGAAGAATGACAACGGCGTGCCAGTGCTGTCATAGAGGACGCCACCGATGCCGGCTCGCTTCTCAGCCGTGGGCTCATACGAACCATCTGTAAAAACATACAGCTCACGCCCCGTCGTTTGCCTCAGCTCCAATGGCCTGGAATCCGCCACGTAGCGGAGCAAAGTTTGAATCGCCTCAGTCAGGTCGTCAGTGAGCCTTGTGCATGAGTCCATACATTGTGCCCCAAGGATATCTGTCTCATCGCCTCACACGGCGCACGACCGAAAAGATACGAAGTAAACCAGTGCATCCTTCCCCTCAAAACTTCCGCATCCTTAGGTCGGAGTACAGCATCACGTAAGATTCCCTCGAGGGTCTCTACCAGCTCAGCAGTACGTGCTTCCGTATGCCGAATGACGACCACCCCCTCATTGAATCTCGTCAAGTCATACTGCAATCCCAGGGCGGCAAAGGTGTAATCAAAGTCAGTGGCCTTCTTACCCTCCTTTGCGTATTGGATCCCCAGTGCGTCGAACACTTCTCCAGCCAATCCCCCAACCTGGTCTTCATGACCTTCAAGGGCCATCAAAGGAAAATCGTCAAAGTAGGCGCACCATCCCAGGCCAAGGTCCTGGATGCCCGTGTGCCAAATCGCCGCCGAAACTCGCAAGAAACCCGCCACACTTCCGGTGGCACCGAAAGGAAGAACGTTGGTTCCATAAATCCTGACCATGCCAGAGTCGGTGTCATAGACCCCGATCCTCAAGTGACGCCTGTCTTGAGGGTGGATTGGATAGAATTTGTACGCAGAGACAAGATCAATGGTTTTCCCTTTGATCCTTTTGCCGGCAGCTTCAGGGCGGTTGAGCAACTCAATGAAAACTCCAGCAAGCACGTCCACTCCATGCAAGGTGAACTTCTCTGGTAGCCCACACGCCAAGTTGAGGCCACACTCCTTGCCGTTGTCGATCACACGAACTTTGTCCTTCTGCTGCAAGCCGAAACGATGGGCCAAGACTATGTCATCAAGATTTGCACTTTCATCCCGAAAGATCCATCCCTTCTTCTCTTCCTCCACCGTTTCAGCCCACGCCTTGCGTGCCGTGATGTCAACAACAGTCTTCTGTAGCCTTTTCAAGGTCAACGGTGTTTGGTACTGGGATTGACTTAGCAGGTGCTCCAGCGATGTTTGCGGGGGACGGACTTTCTTGTCGAAGATTCCAGTGTCCCGCATCCAGCCAGTCAGTCTAAGTCCATCGCGCAGGTCGGACCAGAGTTGTTGGTCCGGGAAGCCATTGTCACCAAGAATACTTTTCCAGGCCAAAAGGTTCTTATCCCCTAACGCGGTCACAATGTAGTCCGGCTTGTGCTTCAACATGTTGTGATTCAAGGGCTTAGTCGTAGCCGCAATCTGACTCCAACGATCCTTGGTTTTTGAGGCAAGCCGCTCCCTCCGTTCGAAATCCATGAGGATGGCATCTGCAACTTTGGAGGACGGTCCTTCCCGGCTCGCGTTCAAAGCATTCCTAGGATGTCCAGCCTTCACGGCATCCGCCACAAAGTCGCAAGGTTCTTTGGGTATTCCAACAGAAACAATCTCCGCATGCTCGGAGCACGGATCGTCTGCAGCAATGAAACCTGTTATCGCAACTGTCTCGTCATGCTTGAGGTGGTCCTCCTCAATACAATCAGCGATCTTCACCCGTTGGGGGTATTTGGAATGCAACGACGACAGGTCGATGCCTGTGCATTTGGAAGGCACGCAAACCCGCACCATACCCCAGGATACCAGTTTGCGTTGAATAATGCGCGCTCCCTTGGGGTAGCAAGCCAGCAGCGTGGAGGTGAGATCATCGGATCGAACAGGGATGGCCCAGTCATCACTTCCAGAATAGCAGGCAACCAATGGTCGTGCAAAGCGAGGCTGTCGCTGCAAGTATACCTGGGAAAAAGGGCGCGGGTCGGGCGCAGCAAGCGCCAGTCCCCCAGCACGTGCGGCAATGATGTGGGCCATTCGTTCACAAAGCAGCACTGGATATGCAGCCTCATCGGCAGTCGGGAAAGAGGTAGCATGTGGCTGCAAACGAGGTTTCCAAGAAGTGTGCTGGTGGTCGCGTGAACATCGGAGAGCGAGAGGCTGAAACCAATCGGCAGAGCACCACAACAGGGTGGTTTTGTCACGTGTGCCACCATGCATGCAGGCATCGTAGACCACGGTGTGATGTGGTGAGCGGAACAGCTCGTCCAGGCCATCACACAACCAAGCCAAAGAGTTGCGTGGGTTTTCCACGGTGACGAAGATGTTCAATTGTCGAGCCAGGTCAGCAATTTGGCCGACGGCACGGTAGAGCATATTGGCCTTCTGGACCCGTTCAAGATCTGCGCCAGTCAAAGTGGAGAGTCCTTGGGGTTCGGAAGTGCTGCGCAAAGGTTGCGGCACCCGAACACCAGCAGCAGTCAATTCTGGAATGGGTCTTGAGCGCGCCGCAGACGCGGTGCCACATGGCGGCGCACAATGGATCCAGACAATATTGGCCGCCTCAAGACGGATGATATCCAGAAGAATGCAAAGGTCGTCAGCATCGGTGAGGTCAAGACGTTGTATGGGGAAGCGTCCACGTGCTGTGGATTTATCGATTGCAAGCGTTCTGAAACCCAGCTTCTGACAGGCAGTGCTGAGCCGAGCCGTGCCGGCAAAGATCTCGATAACCAGCGGTGTGGCCCGTTGCGGAAAGGCCTCCTGCAAGCCAGTATGCGTGGAAGCAGATGCACTGGTGGATGGTCCGGCGTCAGGCGAACCTAGAGGTTTTAGGGAGGGGCAGGCGGCGGGTTTAGGGCCAACTAGGGGTCGGTAGGCAACCTTGGGCCGCTTGGGCGGTGGCACGGGGAGCACAGCGTCTGAGGCCGATCCGGACTCAACTTGAGGCAGGAGGAAACGAGCATCAAGGAGTCGAACACGATGTGCCTCGGACAGGAGGCCAGTGTCACGAATGCAGAATCCAACAATCAACAAGCGAGTACCGTCCCAGTCACAAGTTGCGCGCAGCCTCTCTGAAGGAAGCAACTGTGGGCCGTCAGCAACAGGCAGCAAGTAGCCCAGACGCGGCACGTCGGGGTCGGGGCACGGACACTCGCCTTTACCCTCAACCCAAATCTGGCCTTTGTGGAAAACAGAGGCAGGCAAGATCAGGTTGGGATGGGCATGATCGTTGTTGGCGTCGTTGTGCAGAGGCGCCTTTAAATTCAAGAAAAGTCCAACAGACGAGAAGCAGCGAGATCCAAAAGATGCCGACAAGACGGCGGCCAAAAGCATGGTACTGAAAGGAAAGGCGTGAAAATTAGAGCGCAGTCCGGCTTTGGCTTGATGGACATATGCGCCGGATGTGAAAGATTTGGGAGCTGTCGGGTCCACAGATTCTTCTGACGGGGCACCGGCAGTGTCTGCAGGGAGCAAAGCGATCAAGCTCCGAAAATCGTCATGACTAGCAAAACCGGCCTGTAGGCATTGCAATGCTATCGCCTCCGCGGGTGCCAACACGTCGGCAACCTCAGAAGTGGCAGCAGGGGAAAAATGAAAGCCCACTGAGTGTGGGCCATAGCCAGAAATGGCAGCCGCCTCAACAGGCGGAGCTGAGGTGTCGAGATCTGTTTGTCACTCGGATTTACCCTTGCCGGATCCCTTCCAAGTGCGAGCTCGGCAATTACGGAAGGAGTGGCCCACACGGCGACAGTAAGCACAAACATGGACACCCCGAGGGCAGCGCGGTAGGTCTCCCTCAGTCTTGGCCTTGCAGCCGGCACAATTATGGTCCCAACAGATGGGCTTGCCGTCCTCGGTTTTCTGGTGAGCATCCTTAAGTTCAGCCGGCATGGTGCGTGCCTTTGTAGCCTGTGCAGCAGTAGCCTGGGCGCCTGTGCTCCGTCCTGGTGTCGTATGCTTGGCAGCGGTAGCCGCCTCTTTTGCACGGCGACGGCGCTTGGCGGCTCGGGACAGTCCTTCACCTGGTTTGGCAGGGGAGCCTTGCTCAAGGTCTTGAACCTTAACATCCGGTGCACGGCCCCAGGTAGCCATCAAGTACATGGTGATCCGAGGGTCTGTCCTCAAAGCATCCAAAGCCTTACCCAGAGGGTACTCGCCAGCGGTACTGGGCTTAAGCGATGGCACTTCGGACGCCAGGATCAACCAGGCTTCACGATCGGCCTGCACAATGCGGTTCATATCAGGCTTGTGGAACCCTGGAGGGCACTCCTTAGTCAGTGCGTGAAGCAAGCAGTGAACCCAACGCTCATGCTGGGCCCACGTCAGTACCTTAGCCTGGTCCAAGGCCAGACCGCGGCGCTGAAGGCACCACTGCAACTTGATCGGCGAATCATAAGAAGCAATGTCCTTGGGCTGTTCACTTCCGACCTTCAAGGAGTTGTCCTCAAGTCGAAAGATTTTGCTTTGGTCCTTCGTCGAAAGCTGAATTTCTGATTCGCGGCTGGTGCATTTGCCTGGCGATATCCAAGTGATGCCCACATCATGCATGTGACAACAGAGGTCCACCAGAGCATGGGAAGGGACCAAATCACGCTCTATATGCACCCCACTAAGCCGACGGCGCTGATCTTCGGCCCTGGCCTGTTTTTCAGCAAGTGGAAGCTTTCGAGGCTGTTCGGCAGAGTCCCCTTGCACAGCTTGACGCAACTGAGCTATGACATATGTGGCGGACTCGAACATCAATCGCTTCAAGATAGACACATCCCCCAAACGGGGAGCAGCCCCCAAGATCTTTACTGCAAATGCGTCCATTTCCGCCTGTGTGGGTCGATCCTGAGGCGTGCCACAGGAATATGCAAGCGAGGCAAAGGAAGTGATCCCTTGGTCAGACAGTGCGGTGTGAATCGCACCCCCGCCGACGTCTTGACATCGCTGCCGAAATGAAGCCTCACTGTCAACCAGCGACATGTCGCCCCCTAAAGGCGGCTCAGGGCTGTGTTCCGCTCACGTAACATGACCGGCACACCAGGTGACCCCCAACACACAAGCGTCTCGCTCGGCCCCGCAAGGCGAACTAGTGACTGTCCGCCACTGCCTTCTTGCAGTTGCGACACACTGATGAGTCAAACCTGATTCGCTGTGGAAGACTGTACAAGTCGCTAACCATCCGCCCACACATCAGTACGCGGCGGTTGTTGTCAGCAATCATGTGCAGCAAGCGAGTTCTCTGATGCTGTAAAAATGTTGTGCCTACCGCAGGCTCCGGCGGCGGCATAATCCGGGCCGGTTCGTCATCGCTTCCGGAGCTATCACTTGAATCACTTGATCCACTCGAACTAGAAGAATCGGAATCCTTGCCGACAAGTTTGTCGTCTTCTGCACCCAAAGAGGACACACCGCCGTCACCCACCTCAGCTTCGGGTGGCTCATCAGCAGAATCCTGCCCCATAAGGTCCGCGTCATCATCGCCCGGAAAGAAGACGTCTGGCTGGCTCGGTGCTCCCTTATCAAGCGCGTCGACCAAGCCAAACATGTCGTCGTCACCCGTCACCCTCTCCCAGGACTCAGCAGAGGGAGGGTGGCGATCATCCGTCTGGGCAGCGAAACCCAATCGAAGCTCTTCCAAGCCACTCCCACGCAAATAACCCGCACGACCAGCATCTGGATCAAAGACACCCTCTCGGATCTCTGAGATCAAGGCCATGAGCAGGCGGAGGGGCCGGGCCAACTCGTCATCGCCATAAGTGTCAGCCATCCCGGCCGAGTTTGCGTGTCCACCCAGAACCAACCGGTCCAAGTGTTCAACGCCACGCTTTGTCGCCATGGTAAGGAAAGTCCTCTTCAGCGTGTGGCCAGATGTTCTGAGTGATCCACGGTCGACGAAGATCTTCTGAAGCCATAAAGACATCTCCTCAGTGCTCACGGATGCACCGGTAGGTTCTCCTGCAGGGCCTGGCGTAGGCAAGGGTGGAACGAACTCTGTAAGTCCCACCTCCATTCGAGCCTCGTGCCACAAATCGAGCCAGTTTGGCCCAGCGATACCTCGTCCAGGAGCGATCATCCGAAGCGGTGCACCCGCAAAGAATTTAGAGTTGACTGTTTTTTACGATTTGTGGCACAAGCTGATTTGGATTTACAAATGTCGAATATCTAGTCGTCCTCTTAGGGACGTTCTATAAATGACTCAGAAAAGAATCAATCCAATATTCTGTGGCATAACACACTCACGACTTTTTCGCTCGAAAGCGTCAAACGGGGTTTCCAAGTGCATGCCGCACGCACAATGTGGCACACCGCCACAAGAAAGAAGCACTTCGCTTCGAGAGCACTCCGCTCGCCCCAGGGTTGGGTGGGTGGGAAAATAAATTTCGCAGTCTTGAGCTCTAACTCCGAGCCAAGACTTTGCAGCATAACCTTGTTCAAATCTCGTGCGGCATGTGAAAATCCAAAATCAGCAGTTTTTCTGTACTTCCAGAAAAACCAAAAGCGCCTACAAATCGTAAAGCGAAATCATGCAAGCATGAGTTGAAGCTTACGATTTGTGGCACAAGCTGATTTGGATTTACAAATGTCGAATATCTAGTCGTCCTCTTAGGGACGTTCTATAAATGACTCAGAAAAGAATCAATCCAATATTCTGTGGCATAACACACTCACGACTTTTTCGCTCGAAAGCGTCAAACGGGGTTTCCAAGTGCATGCCGCACGCACAATGTGGCACACCGCCACAAGAAAGAAGCACTTCGCTTCGAGAGCACTCCGCTCGCCCCGCTTGACCTGAGTGCTCTTAGACGAAGCGCTGAAGCACTGTACCCGTCAGAGGACAACAAGGATCATCGATCGCGCACTCCGGGAAGGCTCTCAAAAGGCCCTCCCATCGACCTCTTGATGGTCCATCAGAGATATTAGAGTGCGAAGGAACACGACTGAACCATTGCAAGGCAGGCAGTGAATCAGCTTTCTCGAGTGCACACAAGAGCTTTCTCCAGGTATCTTCCTTGGAGGATCCGCTTATGCAAGCTGCAAGCACCCCGCTGTGATCGACGAAATAAATGACCCTGGCACCGTCCAGGACGTTCGCCCAGCACGATCTGGCAATGATGACAGCGAACATCTCAACCTGTCCTATGAGGTGTCGCTTGCCCTTGGCATGCCAAGCTTCAAGCAACGTCTTCGGAACAAGCGAGCCAAAGGCCCTTACCTTCAAGCCTCCACTAAGCGAAGGAGCGAACATCACCCCCCCCACACCGGCGGGGTTTGCAGCATCCGGCTCAAAGCAGCCGTCAGTGAAGATCACGATAGGACTAGTCGCAGCTGAAGCTGAAACAGTTCTCGGAGCTCCGGACACAACGCGTTCCTTCAAGAGCAACAAGGCTTCAAGATGCTGAGCTGTGAGGTTGACACGCGCAGCAGAACACCTCTCAAGACTTCTGAGATCATGAATCGCCAACCTGCCCATTCTGCCAAGGATCTGTGCCTCGGCGAACTGAAGTCTGCCGAACAAAGAAGGCAACTCGCGAGGTGCGACGTGCCCTCTGGTGATAATCTCCTCAATGGCAGCGGCGATGGCCTGCGACCTCGATGGTTTGTTGCACACAGACACGCCCGACATATCTTCCGCCGACGTGTCTATGACAACTCCCAAAGTTTCCGAGCGCGTCGAAAAAGGCTTATCCTTATCATCAGCAATCCTAAACCCCAAAAGGCGCATCACTGAAGTAAAGGCTGCAGCCGTGCTGTTGCCAAGGAGGCTCGGCGTCACTACTGGATAGTCATCATAATAAAGCGCCGTCAAGATCTCCATCTCAAGCATAATCCTTCTCAGCAAAGCCGAAACTCTGTTGAAGTGAAGAACAGATCCACAGGCTCCGAAAGGAAGAGTGTTGCATATGTAGCCGGACGGCTCGGTCTGTGAAGGATGTCGAATGGTCACAATCGCCTTACTTTGTTCCTCCGGTGCGAGCGGAAGTTGTTTGTAAGCAGATTTAAGATCAAACGTTGTAGTGACAGGCCTGATCTTCTCCTTGTCGGTCCAATGGTCATGCAGCTTGCCTTTCAAGGTTTCGCCCGAGCTCAGATGCAAAGTGACATCGCCCCTAGCAGAGGCAGCCTGCATTATCTTGGTGCAAATCCAAACCACCTCGTCCAGAGCCCTAAGGGGAATCTTCTCATGGCAGCCAAAAGTAGCATTGAGTCCCGACTCGCTAAGATCATCGATCGGCCTCCACTTGTTTTGCCATACAGCGAACCTTCGGCACGGCATCCACTGGCCTTCAAAGCGCTCCTGGAGCTCAGAGAATGACAAAGGACCCTCGAGCCACCCTTTTCCTCCAGAAACACCGGTTTCGCCCAGCGTGATTTCGGCCAACTCCGCATCGTACTCCTGAGCCGGCTGCTCCCTCACCCGTGCCCAAAGCTGATGCTTCAAAACTTCGGCAGCGTCCCAAAATTGCTCCTCCGAAGATAAGGCAGGCTTGTGGTCTGGCTCAAAAACACCCGTAGGATCAGGAGTTCCTGACAACTTGAACCCTGCACATAGGTCGCGATGCAGGTGCTTGTCGGGCCAGTCAAGAGATTTTGCAATCTTGTCAAGAAGAAGCAGCTTCTTTCCTTGAAGAACCTTGCGTACCGAGGGATGAAGGGAGGCCTGGAGAGCGGCCTCATCTGAGCGAAGGTCCTTCGCCCACTGGTTCCACTTTTGCAGCAGGAGCAACCTGTTTCGCATGATGCATAAGGGACCTTTCGTCAATGTGTCAAAAAGCACACGAACAAGCTTGTCCGGAAGAGCTCTGGCGGCATCAAACGGATGCTGAAGTGCGACAGCCTGATACACAAATTGCACCGGCTCGCGATACACACCGAACACATACTCAGTATGGCGAGGCTTCTGCAAAGAGATGTTGGTCGCTTGCTGCGCGGATTCCTCAGTCGCCCCCCCTTCGGAAGCGGAAGAGCGCAGGAGGCGGGCGTGTTTGGGCACGCCGTTCCAGGAATGTGTCAGCTGGTTCTTGGCATCCAAAGGTGGATGGCCCGCACACCGTAAGCGCTGCGTGTATGCAAACTCTGGCACAAGCGGTGGCAGCTTGGACGCCTTCGGCTGGTTTTGCGCCGCAGCGCGCACCTCGGGGAGACTAAGAGGGGAGGGGCCTAAACCCAAGGCAGCAACCTGAGTGGACAAGGCAGCAGCAAAACGATCGCAAAAGAGTTTGGCTGGCACGGCGTCGGCTCTGTCAGCCGCGGAAAGCGGGGACAGGTCACACAGGGTGTACACCAAACGAAGATGCTGGATCCTGTGTAGGTCAGACACCAGATACACCGGCGCCTCCGAAGTGACCTTGAGCAGGTCGGCGAAGGGAGGCAGCTCCCAAAGCCAGGAAGACATGGGATGCATAAGCGAGAACGGTACCTCAAGTTCACGAGCCCGAAGCAAAAAGGCCCCCAGCTGAATGAAAATGCGGTTGGCCGACTGTAGACGGGCCAGAGCCGAGGAGTCCTGACCTGGCACACCCCACGGGTGGGAAGCACTTCGAAGCGACGATTTTGCACGTGATCGTCGCGTCGTCCCAGAAGGGGGAGTTACATGCACATGAACAACGTGTCTGTTTTCAAGAACGGTCGTCAAGTACTCCCACGAGGCTGGCAGCGTGAGGTCGAGGCCGACAACATGCACATAAGGCTTAGTGCGATTCCCGTGAAAATCAACCGCCAAAGTGTCTATGTTTGCAGCTTTGACGGAGGCTGACAAAAGGCCTGACCCGGCGCAGAGTTGGATCACAAGAGGGGCACCACGGGAGCTCTTTGCCTTTGGAACCAAGGAGCTCGAAGACAGTCCTGAGAAGGTACTATGCGACCCAAGCTGACACAGAGAAGTCGCCGTATCCTGACAAGGTAGATTGAAACCCGCTCGTAGCAGCATCTCTGCAGCCTGGTCTGGAATCTCGGCGGGGGCTTTGACCACAAAACCAATGAGAACGATACGTGGGCCCTGAGTCCAAGGCAACGTAAGGTGCTTCTTATGCGGATCAAAGGCAAGAGTTAAGTCGCTGAAGTCGAGGTGTGAGCCCAGAAGAGAAGGATCGGTGGGGCACACAATGCTTCCGCTTGAATCCTGGACCCACAAACCCCCACCACTAAACCCCGAAATCTTAACCAAGCCGTTCAGATAGCCCAGTGCATTGTTTGCATCCAAATGCAAGGTCGTTCGCACGTTGCGAGTCAATGACAATGTTGTCACGGGAAGCCTCGGGTGGTATTCCTTGAAGACTTTTGCAAGGAATGCAGAAGTCACGGGAAACTGATGCATATGTTGTCGGCATCCGTGCACACCTCCATGCACGTACGCACCTGTGCTCCAGCTGAACTCGTCCTCAGAATTGTTCCCTCTTGCCGGAATCTCACTCTCCAGCAAATCGCACAAGGTCACAACATCCCTGAGATCTAAAGGCTTCTTAAGTGATGCGGTAGCAGAAAATTGCTCAGGATCTTTGCAAAACAAAGGCGCTGAAGCGACATGCTCAGCAGCGAAAATCGAAGATTCAGAATCCGACCCCTCGGCCGAATCAGCAACTTGTGCAATAGCACGGTCCCTTGACCGCGCTCGCTTGGACAAGCCCACTCCGAGCTGCCCACTACTCATTGCCGATGGCATCTCCGCCTCCGCCACCTCGTCTCGACCCACCTGGAGTCAAGACCCGGCCTTCTTCAGGGCCGCATACTGTGGGCAATCAAGTGCTGGATGCGCGCCCCCGCACTTCGGGACGGCGCATACGTGCAACCCCTTTGGGCAGCGACCTCCCTTCACTTGCTCAGAGCAAGTTTTCAAGCCGTAGCCAAAACATATTGGGTCGCCCCGATTGGTGCACGCCTTGCAGCCAACAAGCTCCTTGGGCATCCTCGGTGTGCTCTTGCCTGTGCCTGGGCTCTTGCCTTTCCGACCACCCTTTGAGGGGCGATCGTACGGGCTCCAGCGTGGCTTCGGAGGCGGCTCCACACGACCGCTAGGCTTAGGCAACGGCTGCATCACATGTGTGACCTCTGGCAAGTTGAAGACTTCTTCAAAGCAGTCGTCCAACGGGCGACCGACAGCGGTGGCCTGGACTCCATCGCGAGTCCTGTCCGCTAATTCCTGGAAGAATTTCTGGTCCGCCGCCTCCAATTGGGCAAACGACACTTGCGAATGCGTGTCGAGTTGGGCCGCCATCCTCGTCTCTATCAATTTTTCGGCCCACCTGCGATGCAAACGAAAGTCGAGCAAGTTCGACATTTCAAATGCAAGACCTCTTCTCAAGAGTGCGAACTGCAGCAAAATCTCCGAACTCGTGTCAGCTTTAATGTGATCGCCCTTAGCCTCGGCTTTCAAGCGCCCCTGGGCATCCACAGTGAGCATGTTGTCACGCTTCACCTCACTCGAGAGCTCCTGGGACTTGGAGGTGCACCGATCCCAAGACACATAGCGAAGGCGATTCCCTTCGTAGATGCCCACACACAAGTCCAGCAAAGCGTCGCTCGGCTCGTTCCGATCCTTGATATCGATCCCAGAAACAGATGCCTTGATTTTTCGGTACCTCTCTGCTCTCTCCGGCTGTGACAGACGTCTTGGCCCTGCCTCATCTGGCCTCTCGGCCATCGTCTTAAGCTCTTGAGTAGCCACGGCATAAGCTTCATGGAATAGCCTGCGCCAGGATGCTTTCTGGCCTGCGTCACTCTCCTTCCCGAGTGCTTCGTTGAGGACTTTAATGAGCTCGGCATCAGAAGCAGCACCGGGCGCGTAAGACGAAACGAATGCCACCTTAGCAAGTGTATTGATTCCGGCAGCCTTCAATTTGGTCACGGCCTCACTGCCTAGACCAACGGTCTCACATCGGTTGGTGAACACCGGCTCTGACTCCGTGTATGAAGCCATGGCTCACACAGTCCCTAGCTCTTGCACAGCTGTTGCCCAACCGGCTCACATGCACTGCCACTCCGGCCAGACCGCCCCATGGGCGCACGTTCAAAGACATCATCAAAGTGCCAAATTCAGCCTGCCAAGTGACTGCAACTTCCACAAGACAACTGGCTCCAGACGCACGCGCAGAACTGGTGGTGCTAGACGCAATACACACTTGAACTTGCAGGGCACTGCCACAGCATGACAGCATGGACTTGCAAGGCACATGCGCACGGAACTTTGGATTGTCCACGCCCTCTGCCCGCAGCACCTCACGCATTGACTGATTCCAGAAAGCTTCTGAAGCACTGCTTGCACCTTGGATACAAAACGGGTGGGTGTGCATCGCACACCTCATAGGCAGCCGTAATCTTTCTGCCACAAATGAAAGCGGTGGCCTGCTCCTCACGTGAAATGTGCAAAACTCGCGAGGTTTCGTTCCTAGCCATGACCGCCTCATCAGGAATTTTAGATTTATCTACACGACCGGCCCACGGGCCCAAAACACGTCCCTCAGCACCCTCATCATGGCGCGGGCACTCCTCATCCTCAGAAGAGGACGACGAGCAATCTGCGCCTGCATCGTCGCGAACTCCCGCAGCCTCCCTCTCCGCGGCCGTCATAAGGCCTCTGGTCTCATCAGGCCTGAAAGAACGATCACGGACCTCGTCGACGAGCTCCTGCAAGACTCTTAAGGGATATGCCATGGCATCCCTGGCGTAGATGATCTCCGTACCTATGCCAGCATCTTTTGTTGCGTGATAACCCAACAATGCAGTGACATCTCGAGCCACACCCTTCTTGTCTGTTTTCCCCTTCTTGTTTTGAGGTTTGAGCCGAACGCTAAACCTTCTACTAAAATCGTTCCTTCAAACTTGGATGAATATATGCACGTCAGAGTCATAAGTATAAAGGAAATATAAATTCAATCCTTCAAGCACTCGGACGAAGACTCTTTTTCTCGGATGGTGGTGAATGTCCCCTCGTCGGAGGGAAGGCAGGCACATCTGGTGTGCGTAGCCTCGCCCCCCGGTGAGACCAAGGTTGGTCCGACCCCTTCCCATACAGGGTGGGTTGGGTGGGTACCAAAAACTAAAACTGAGCCTAAACATATCGGAGAGACGGATTCTCACTGAGAACTGAAAGGAGCTGAGACAAACTGAAAGACAGTGAGCTGAAAACGGAAACTAGGAAAAACTCAAAACTGAAAATATCTTTTCCCGCCCGGCCGCCCAAAATTCGAAGGTTTCAACAGTTCAACTGGGCAAGCCCAGTAAAGCCTGTTTTCCCCTTCTTGTTTTGAGGTTTGAGCCGAACGCTAAACCTTCTACTAAAATCGTTCCTTCAAACTTGGATGAATATATGCACGTCAGAGTCATAAGTATAAAGGAAATATAAATTCAATCCTTCAAGCACTCGGACGAAGACTCTTTTTCTCGGATGGTGGTGAACGTCCCCTCGTCGGAGGGAAGGCAGGCACATCTGGTGTGCGTAGCCTCGCCCCCTCTCCCTGAGTCACCAGGGTGTGCCTTCGCGCTTCCTCTTCGGGACATGAGGCAGAAAATTACTTGCAGACTGCAGCGCCTTACGAGACGCATCGAAGTCGGACTTCGACAACCACAACTGATTCAAGAGCTCAAGCGGTAGCTCGCTGAAACTGACATCCAAACGGTGTTCGGAACTGAAAGAGCTGAAATCCTGATTTGTCAGAGCATCTGCCAACTTATTTTCGTCACGTGGTTTCCAAGTCAAGCTGAGCCTCAGACAAGCCTTTCTTAGGAGATGTGAGAGCTGCATGTTGATGAGCATGAGCGGCCACTTGGTAGTGGACTGTTTCTTAAGAAGCTTCTCGTTACTCTGATTGTCAGTGGCCCCGGCAACGGCGACGGGGAGTCGCCTCTGCGAACTACTCTCTTTAAGGTGTCCGAAGAACCACAAAGCAGCTAATGTTGCTAAAAGTTCGGCTGATGCTGACGCCCATTGTGATTTTCCCGCTGCGTCGAAAAGGTACGGAGCATCCGCCGGCTTCACCACTATGGAGAACCAAGACGCGACCGAAAGGTCCTGGCTAGAGTCCCAACCTCCTAGGACAACATAACCATCATCGCATTTCGCGTCTGTGTGAAAGAGATGCCCTTTCTCTTCCTGTTGTCGGCCCGGTGTGACCTTGAAGTTGATGTCTTTAAGCGTTGCCTCCAAGTAGAGCAAAGTCAGAATAACCGTGTCCGGCATTTTTGCAACATGGCTCTTCGAAGCCGCAGCTGACCAAGCATACAAGGGGGCCAAATGTGGTTTGATCCAGTACACAACCCTAGACACGAACCCAAGTCTCCCGAGAAACTCTGCAAACTTCCTGACAGAGACGACGAAGCGCGCCTTCCGTGCCTCATCGACCCAGTTGCACACCCAGGCACCTCGGGCTTCGCTAAGTCCCACCAGTCTGGCGCCATAGTCAAGCTCGTATCCTATGAAAGCGACAAGCGTTTTCCCCTTAAACTTATGGTAAGCGAAGGGCACCCCTATCATTTCTTGAAGGATCAGCCAAACCAAGAAGTTGATGTACATCCGCTTCCCGTAGAAAGTGGGATGCACATCATCCACATAAGCGAAGTGGTAAAAGGCGTGCTGCAGTAGGCAACGGGTGACCACTCTGCCTATGATTCCATACAACCTGCTCCACCAAAAGGAAGCTGGGCTAAGCCCAAACGTTCCTACCTTATTGATCCAAATCGTGTCAGACCCTTGCTCTGCCCTGCATGACATCAAGGCCCAGTCACTCTTCCGATGCAAGACCAACCTGTGTGCAGCACTCACGTCCGCGGTTGCGGCCAAGGGAATCTCTTGCATAGCACCTGATTGCCGAACTGAAAATGACATTTCTGCCGGACCTGGAACCGCTAACTGATTCACCAAGCGTATCTGGTTGTTGACATTGACACCGTGCGTTCCATCATGTAATGGCCGCACACTGCCATCGGGTTTGAGGATTGCCCCCATTGAGGCCACGCGGATCATGTCATCACTGTACTCCTCGCGCAAGGCTCCGAGCGTTGTCGGTTTCATCCGTCCAAGTTTTTCCTCTGCACGAAACTTTTCGAGGAGCCCGGCGGAGCTCAACTCGGCACTCTTATAATTTTCCCGGTCAAATTCCAACTCTGACTCATCAAGTTTACGCCACTGGCACTTCCTTTCATACACCTGCGGCAAGTGTGGTATGTCGCAATTAAGACCTAAGGGGACCCCGGTACAGAAACAGTCAACTCCCTCAGTTAAAATCTCCCAGTCTGGATCCTCGAGTCTTTCGGCCGAAAGTGACAAGGCCCTGAGCAAGAAGGGCTGCGCATCCGGGATCTCAAGCACGTCGGGACTGTCTTCCGCACCCAGCACCTTGGCCCACTGTTTACGCAGGGCTTCCAACTTCTCCCCAGCGAATGGAGAGGATTCGACCTTCCCTGAAAGTAGGCTCAAGCAGAAGCGCCGGGGATCAGGTACATGCTCGGCGATGAAGCTCGTAAGCATCCGGTACATGGATTGTGCATGTGCAGTAGCCGCTGGGCCCAGGCGATGCCCCCGATCCATCGGCCTCCATCGCGAGGGGGAACACAACCCGAACCCATCTGTCATGTCAGCCTCCTGACCTTCCCACTCAACGCGAATGGGGTTGCCTCGGTTCCCGCACGCCTCTGGTCTGAACGGCACGGGTGGTGCTGTGTCCTGTGTGCTTGGGCCCTCGGCGGTACCCAGAGCTTCGGAGGTCTCCCCATTCGATGCGTCCAAGTCAAGTGGTAACTCAAAGCCCAATGCCTTAAGGTGAACTAAGTCGGAAGCCTCAACATTGCCAAGCTTGTCGGTCATGTATGCTACCATCACCACCCGACGGCCCTTCCACGCCCGCGTAGCGTGGTACGACCGCCAGGCATCGAAGCTTACGGGACCCTTACAAACCTCCAAGAGGACACCCGGTCTCTGCCCTTCTGGCGTTGTCTCCCAAACGTCGCCTCCTTGCTGTTCCAGCCAGATCTGGCCACCTTCAAAGTCGGATAACGGCACTACCATGTTCGGATAGTGTGCATTCCGAGCATCACGGTGGACACCCGTCCTGACATCATCGAAGATCGCGATAGCGGATGCTTGAAAGCCAGGTGCAACCTGCTGCAGGTACTTCGTTAGAACCCGCGTCGACATAGGCATCGCAGTTGAATGATGCCTCAAACCGACTAAGCCACCCTTGCAGTAAGCGCCCGTAGCGAAAGCCCTGCCCGGTGCAGGTGAAATCGATTCCCTGGGCGGCTCCTCGCGGGGAAGCATGTCAAATAACTCTAACACACGGCGACGTTCTAGCGGACCGGGCGCCGCCAGCAGTTGTGATGCGGCACTCTCGGGATCGCAGGCGGACTTCAAAGGATGCGAAGAGGAACTAAAACCCGAACGGGAAGGGTGAACCGCCGTGGCCTTAGGGGACCTACAACCTGACTGGGAAGAAGGAGCAGCCGCGGCACTGCAACCTGAAGGCGAGGATGGATCAGAACCTGAAACGACGGGCATGGGAGGAACCTTAGCGTGCCCAACCAGCACATCGGGGACCTTAATTGCCTTGTCAGGAACCTTCGACTTAGAGGATTTGCATTCCCCATCTGCTTGCAGCGAGAAGTCGATGGCTGCTACCATGAATTGACACAACTGAGGGGGCCAGCCGCGGGCCCGCGGCAAGTTCCACTGTTGCGTAGTCGGTGATTTGCCGGTGCTAATCGCGTGACCCCCATGTGGGCACGACGCGGGCAGGGGCCCAACGTAGCGGTGATCCGCATCCAGTACCGGCAACCCTGTCAAGGGCCTTGGGGAGTGACGGAAGAAAGGCAAATTGCTCAAGTAACGTGTCGGTTTGGCCCAGTCTGCCCCGAACTCGCACAAGTAATGCACGAAGGTAGTGGCCGCAAAACGCGGAATGCAGTCAAGTAATTCAGGCCAAACCCAAATGGAGCTCGGCACAATGCCATCAGCGGTGCGGCCGAAGTGTTCCGGCGCTTCCCACATGAAGAAATTGCCAGCCTCGGCCGCGAAAATTGTTGCTTTCAAACACTGGTCGATAAAATGATTGGCAGAAGTCACCTTCTGCATAGACGAATCCTTAAGCCATGGAAAACCTCTGGGCCACTGGTCACTGCGGAGTGGCGGGGGCCCAGGTTGCTTATGCCTCGCCCGACTAAAAGTATCATAAGGTGGCGAAATCAAGATCACGGTTTTCGGTTGTTTCACAAGCTCAAACAACTGATCCCAAGCATCACCACAAAACAGGTTGTTTGCATCAAATCCAAAAGCGACGAATTCTGGCTGCGACAAGCTATTGCTGAGATGCGGTGCCCAATCAAAGCGCTCAGCAGGATCTGCAAAGACATGAACCACCCTTGATGCCACAGGTTGGCCTGACAGCAACGGCAGATGGTGCCCATGCGCCCCCTGCTGAGCGCAACTCTGTCACTTACCCGCTGTCGCGGCTTCGTGCTGCGAGGCCGGGTGCTCGCCGAAACATCCTGCAACACGACACGCATGCACACGTGCGCACTTCGGATCAGTACAGCCCTGGTGGTTGTATGCATAACACAACTGACGGCCGTCAGGAGTCGCTGACACAAGTGCAAGCTGTTTCCCATTTGACAAGACAACCTGGCCCTTGCCTTTCTTGCCTTTGCCTTTCCCTGCTCCACGACCGTTCTGATGCGGCGCTGGCGGCGGTGGAATCTCTTGCCCTTGCTGCTTATCCTTTCCTTTGCTGTTGCCCTTCCGAAACTTGGTAGGCGTACCAGCTGTGTGCAATGCCAGAGGTGTTGTAAAGTAAGCCTCTTTCAGCGACGGATCCTCACGCACTGCACGAAGTGCCTCTGCCATGGTGGCGGTTCCCTCCAGGATCATCTTGAAAGCTTCAACCCTCAACTTATATTCATAACTCAAGACGATGTTCCAAGGAGGCCTGTTGAACTGCGTCTCTTGCCCAGAAGCAGTGGGCAACTTTAAGTTGCCAACACGATCTCCCAAGATGTACTCAACAAACTTTGTGAAATCATCAAGCTGAAGCCCTTGCAACCAAGCCTTTACCTTAAACCGTGCACTCATGCAGAGCCATGCATGTGCCTCGACCTTCATCAAGCGTCTATAGCCTTCTGAGTGATGTGGCATTTCCAACTTCTGCATCGTCTTTGTCACCCGAACATGCCCGGTGGGATCAATGCTGGTCTGGAGGCTCTCCACCTGCGAATCCTTCTTTGAAGAGATGCGATCAAGCGAACTTGCGAGAGGCTCATTGCTCTCGCACTCCTCGGCCTTTGTTGCCAAGTACTCTGCACTTGGCGTCTCGCTTTCATTCATCTTCCCGTATGCATCCGTCACTGCCTTCAGCATAGCTTGGCGTTCCTGCACTTGCAAGATTCTCTTATGGCCTAGAACTTTCGCCTCTGCACGTAGCTCGATTTCTTTACTGGCATACTCCTTGGCAAGTTCCCACGCAGCCACTATAGCTGCCACCTCAACACGGCCCGCCGGTGTATCAGGATTAATCCCGAAATCACGCGCAGCTGTCCTTGCACCTTCGCGGTTATCGGCGATCGCCTGGAATCGCCTTCGACTCTGATGGAGCCGCGCAACCTGATATTGCGTGGCCAGTGACGCACTGGCTTCCTGAAGCACATACTGCAAGTCGGAATCCATCTTTGCCACTTCTGCTCTCTGATCCGCCTCACTAGGCAACGCCATGCTATCTGAAACAGCACCGTGCTGTGCAACTGAAACCGCACTCTCAGCGGTAGCCCATGGCAACTGAAAATCACACAGCTCCTAACTCCGTAATTGTAGAACTGCATGCACTTGCGACTGACACTGAAAATCGTGGATCACTCACAATCACGAACATGCTGACGGTCCTGCGAAGCTGCCTTAGCCAAACTCCCTCATGCAAGCACCTACCCATGCAAACAGCCATGTACATGCCGCACCTCGTACACAGCACACTCCTACCGCAACACACAATTTGTCGCCAAGCTTCGAACGTACTCTCACCCCTCTTCGCTGCTCGAGTCACTTGTGGACCCGCTCTCGCTACTTGTGTCCTGATCGTCCTCGGCACCTTGATCTTCCCTCATACGATGCTTGCAATCACGACAAATGCTGTCGATCTGATCCAATGCGACACGCTCGACAAACTCGACCCTATTGCAATGATGTGGCTTAACATGGCACGGCCCATTCAAGTGCAGCCTGCGATGGCCCGTCTTACGACTGATGCTAATGAAGTACTTTGTGGCACTACCTTCAACGTTCATCGCTTCCGGTGCCTCCTCCTCTTCGCTGGCATCCGCATCGTCCTGTTCAATGGCAGGCCACTTGCTGCCCAAGCAGCGTACGCCTTCCACAGTCCTAAGTAGATCATGCCGCCGCCTTGCCAATGCACCTGAACCTCCACGTTCGTCCACAAAGGCTTTTAGCTCTTCGAGAGCTTCACTCTCTTGATACTCGCCACCCTTGCCGGTGACAATTGCTTCGCAGACTCCAATCTGTATGCGATGCACAACCTCCCTTGCAGTGCGCGTGTAGTCGGCAGAACCCGAACCACCGATCATCCAACGACCCAAGAAATCCCTCTGATCCTTAGACCAACCCAACACCGCGGCTGCTGAAGTAAGCCAATTGCGTGGGCTATGCCCCGTGAAGAAGCCTTGGGCCCCTTCCACCAAGAGGTACCTCTGCAAGTTGAGGCGATAGGCCCCATCCTCAAACTTCGGCGTTGCTAGCCTCTTGAAGACCTCACGCACATAGCCTGCAACTACTTCGCTCTTAGCAAAGTGCTTAGTTGGCCCTTTCCAATCGTCTCTGGCAATCATGACAAGGAAGTCTCTCGGCTGAGTATACTTCTTCCAAAGCGCAAAGCCCTCACCCAGCCAATCAAACCCGGACAGTCCTGCCTGCCTGTGTATGAAGACCGAGACCTCCTTGTTGCGACGGTCTGCGCCCGTCGTCTTGGTGCGTCCAAGCGTAGCTCTGAAGCCCTGTGCAGTAAGCTGCATGGTAGCCGGCAGCATCCCTTGCAAGTCGTCCATTCTCATGGAACCATACACAGCCAGCAGTGCAACGAAGGCCATTGCCCGTATATACTCCGGCTCATCCTCCCTCGCAATGTGCAGCTCAAGTGAAATGATCATAGCTACTGTCATCATTGGTGCTTGCTGTACGGGCGCTTGCTCGCCCACCAAATCTGCAGTCAACGACTTCAAGTGTGCCAGCCAAGTCGTATCGCTCGACAGCCGCTGTGTCTCAGCGACCTTTCCCACCTGCTCCAAGACAGCCAGCGACGCCTGGAAACTGTTCAGCACTGTCTTGCCACACTCACTTTGAAATCTCTCATTGCTATAATCAATCAGCTGCCGCACGCTAGTCGGCCATTGCACCTCATGGACGCACTGCAGCCACGTTCTGAAGGGTTGCCATGCCTTCAAGCGGTTTCGCAGCGTTTTGCTCCTGCGGGTTCCAAATATCCGTGGCCAAACTTCCTCAGGCCGGTCCACTCCCTCCAGCTGTTGCACCAGTGGCAACTTCGCTTCCTTAAGTATCTCGGCCAAATGTAGGGCATACTTCTTCCTTGCCAGCTGTTCCTCCTTTGCGCGCTGTGTAGCGTCTGTATTTTCTTTAAGCAAGCGCCTCTTCCGCTGCAGCGCCGGCAGCAGGACAAGTGGGTTGCTCCTTGCCAGCTCATCAAATGTGTCCGTCAGCTTCGGCACCACACGTTGCTGTGGCAGCACTTCCCACATACCATGCAATGACTCCCTTCGCTGCCGCTTGATTGCTGATTCATTTTCCTGTGCCCATGCCACAAGAACGTCGGCTCTCTGATATTTCCCATCTCTGTTGATGCCTGGCAAGAACACCTCTATTAGTTCAGCCGCCTCCTCGCGACCATCAAAGGCTGCGTGCAATTGCCTGGGGTTCGCGAATGCCCCTTTAAGGAGTGCAAGCTCCTGCCCTTGCAGCTCCGGCCATGACATCTACGTCCGAATGGAGCCTTTGCCCCACACTACCAAAAACTAAAACTGAGCCTAAACATATCGGAGAGACGGATTCTCACTGAGAACTGAAAGGAGCTGAGACAAACTGAAAGACAGTGAGCTGAAAACGGAAACTAGGAAAAACTCAAAACTGAAAATATCTTTTCCCGCCCGGCCGCCCAAAATTCGAAGGTTTCAACAGTTCAACTGGGCAAGCCCAGTAAAGCTTAGCCACGACAAGAGTGTGGCTTTGGCTGAGTGCGTCCCCAGCCCAAGCAAGTAGGGATCATCAGTGCCATCACTCAGCAGAGCACGCATCCACTGCCCAGAAGCCTGAGCAGTTTGCGGGATCACATTCCATCCTCCCCCACTCTTGGGTGACGGCATGAGAGGTTTCCCTTCCCCTGCAGTGATGTTCTCCTTCTCGAGCGCCGCCTTCCACCCTGATGCCCAACACTTGCCGCTGAGACCCCGCGCCGGCGCCAGCATAGGCAAAAATTTTGTTTTCCGCTCCACAGTGAAGCTAGTTTTCGTTTTCTTTACCTCCGCGTTGATAAAGCCAGCAGGCAACTCACCCCGGAAGTCAAGCTCGAAAGACAACAAGGAAACATGTTGGGCATCAGAATGACGTGCTCTAGCGAACACCATAAAGAGGACGAAGCCTGCCATTACCACATCGAGGGCTGAGCGAGGTATATCGCCCGTGCAAATCAGCTCCAGCCTGATAACGTCCTTGACTCGAAGTGGCGGTCTCTGCTGCAATCGCCTGATGCCCAGGTACAGCTTTCTGGCGAGCCCTTTCACCCTCAGAGAATCAAGCGCCAGCACTGCACTGTCGAGTCCCAACACGAAGCGGCCGAAAGCCAGCGATGAAAGCACAGACTTGAAGAATGTTGCTGCTACCTGTGTCTGCATGTCGTAGAAGAACTTATACATGACCTCCTCTCTGATTGGGAAGGGCTCAATACCTTCCAGGTCACAGAAAGCCAGATATCTGATCATCGGACCTGCTCTCGTATGCAGAGTCGCAGTGCTCTTTGCAGCCAGAGCATTCGAAATACTCTCAAGAAGATCACCAGCACCGAGCCCCAACAAGCGGGCCCTCAAGAAATCACGAGACACAGCAAAGTCCCACGGCCCTCGCTCAATGATCTTAAGCCACTTAAATAAAGCAAAATTCTTCTCCTCAGTCTCCTTCGCGTCCCAAGAAACATGTTTTGTCCTTCTAGCAAACTTGGCACCCGCGGCATCGAGCCTGCTCTGCATCCTCGCCGCCTCAGGATGAGATGCTTCTCTCTCGGGAACTGCAGGCGGGAGCAATCTCTGCGGAGCCGGAAGCCCCGGCATGAACCTCTTCCTGGCGGACGCATCAGAGCAAATGCTGGCATCCCACGGCTGCCTGACTGAGAAGTGAGTAGCTGGGGTATCTCTGAGGGCACTCAAGAGGTGAAGATCAAAGGCGGATGAGTGATCCGGGGCACCCTGGGCACCCCTTTTAGCACTACGGCGCCCCGACATCACGTAGGCCCCGAGCACACCCGAAGCGCAAGAAAACTCAAATGAAGCGGCGAAAGAGTTGCCGCAAGTGGGCAATGAACTGCTCAAGCCAAGAGATGCGAGCAGCAGAATGAGTATGCTGCTCCTCCAGCCAAGCAAGGCGATCCTCGGCCACACGGACGCGTGAATGAAGCAGATCGTGGGCCACCTGCAAAGTGTGAAGGTGGCTGGATACAGCCTCGAGAGTGTCGAGGCTACTAGGATGCTCTGACTCAGCGGGAGAAACAGAGCGGCCCGAGGCCATCCGGCTGCCCCACGCGGGCAGCACTGCACAGAGGGCTAGGCCCAACCTCGTCTTAGCACCTCGGGCCTGCTAGGAAGCAATACAGGCCCCTAGAGAGCCCAAAATAAATTTCGCAGTCTTGAGCTCTAACTCCGAGCCAAGACTTTGCAGCATAACCTTGTTCAAATCTCGTGCGGCATGTGAAACGTGAAACATATTTCAAGTAGTTGAAAATCCAAAATCAGCAGTTTTTCTGTACTTCCAGAAAAACCAAAAGCGCCTACAAATCGTAAAGCGAAATCATGCAAGCATGAGTTGAAGCGTAATCCTCACAAGTAAATTCCAGGAAGAGCCTCTCACCATCAGCCCCGTATTCCAGCCCACACGAGATAGAGTGCTGAAAATCGGACCAACGGGATCTCATGTACGCGCAGCACAAAGCTGCTCCCGCGAAAACTCGATCCCAAGCGGGGACACTCTTGTCCCCCAACATGGAATGGAGCAGCCTCAAGTTCTTCAAGGTCAAAGGGTCTGCCCTCTGGCGCGCCTTCCGCCGTGCACCCCTCGATGCTGCACCAAGACACCGCCTGCTGGATATCACGTTCTCAATCTCCTCAACTGAGAAGACATGTCGAACGAAGATCAACGCCTCACGAAGCGCACGCATCTGTGCTGGCTTCGCTCCGCCAGCTCTGGCTGCAACCATGTGCTTGTAAACATTGCCCTCTTCATACGGAAAAGTCTCGTCGGACCATCCCTCACTTTTGTGAAAACGAAGCAGAGAGTTAACACGCTTAAGCAGCGTACTCGGAGCTTTTGGATGCAACCAATCCCGAAGAACTTCCGTACGTTCTTCTGCGGTAGCACACTCAAGCAGACTCTTGCAGATCAAGAGGTCCGGGCGAAGATCGGCCCACCTCAAGATAACAAAGGTCCATCGAGCCATGGCCTTGTCGTGGTCCTTGTCGCGCTGATCTTGCCAAGATATGCCGTGGCTTTTACGTACCACCGAAAAACACACTCCAGGAACGAGGCCACTTTCTCTAAGACGCCTCTTCTTTTCCGAAGGTGGGAGAATTTCCTCGGGATCATCTGGCACAGGGAGGTCGGGCAGCATAAAAGTGTCTTCCCAGCCCACCACATCGCTAGGCTCGAAGATGCTCTTGAACACACCGTGCTCCCAGGGCAATTCCGCGGGCTGTCTAGCATCGCTAGCACAAGCATCCACAGCCGCACTCAGCAAAGCTTCGAAGTCTATCCTTGGGCCCTGATCGCTCGAGCACCCGTTACTCGCCCCCTGCATTGTGCTCGAGTCGTGAGCGCAGCGAGTCCACTGCACCCGGAGGTCACAGGACGCGCAGGCCAGCACTCTCGGCCATGCAAGTGCAAGCACAGGAGCAAGTCGGCGGACGTGCTATTGCAGCAGAAGCAAGCAGCCTGCTAGCAGCCAAAACTACGCGACAGGCCATAGTCAGCGACGCTCGTCTGCAAAGAAGCAGCACTAAGGTCACCAGCACAAGCACGACACGTTGCGGCCACAGCAATGCAGCTTAATTTTGCCATCAGCAGACACGACCGGCTTCGAAAGTGAGGTGATTCAGCTGGACCCATCGTGTGGGCACAGAGCTGGGGCTAAAGCGGCCTCCAAACGATCAAGACGAAAAGCTGTACTCATCGCAGTCTCGGCGGCCACACGTGTGAGCTCATCAAGACGTGAATGCAGAGTCCTGAGGGAGGCCCTGGTATCCAAAACAAACTCGGAAATCGCAGAAGAAGGAGAACTGGACTCTTGGCTAGCCAGCAAGGTATTCATCAAATGAGTGCGTCCCAAGCAGAGGTTGTCAACTCTGTGCCCCAGAGACTCACAGTCACTGCGGAGACAGCAAATGTGGCGCAGCAACCTCGAGGGGCTGAGGTCCCGTGCCCGTTCCCCTGAAGCATTGGAGTCTTCTGTTGCATCGCGATTGGAGTCCCTGGACCTCGAACGCTCACGCGCACGACTTGCCCTGGCAGAAGCAAAAGGCGGGCCAGTCTGTGCACGCTGACGTTCGGCCTCCCGAACGGCAAAGAGGGCCTCCTGGAGATCTCGCAAGAACTGAATCTGGGACCCCGTCAGCGCGTCCATCGATGAGGGAGCCGAACCCGCAGTAAAGAACCTAAAGGCGTAGGGTCCTTGCGAAAACTGAAAGATCAGCGGCACAGACAGCGCGCTATGACATGTGAGTGGCATGCCGGTCGAAGTCAAAGTGCACAGACCAGTTGTGGAGAACCACACCGCAAGGCACTGAAACATGCGACACATGTTGCACAACGCGCAGCAAGTTGAGTGTTTTGCCACTGCTGAGCGGGCCACGATCTGAGCTGGAACACCAGCGCTACATCAAGAGATCTGCAATCAGGCGCCGATGCTATGCAGACAGCTAGCGCATGAAGTGAGGCTGACTCTGAGGTGTGGACTCGACCAGCCCGGCTTGGAACCACAGCGAACTGCAAATTATCTGACAAGCATGGCAAAGGGGCCTGTTGTGAGCAAGAGCAACAAAACTAATCGCGGGGCTCACTGTGGCGAGAGCAAGCCTGGCGCAACTCGTCAAAAGCCTCCTCGATGTCCGTGGCACGACCCTCCAGAACGGAGAGACGCTCGGAGGTCTCGGTGCGAAAGACGTGAAAGCTCTCCTGCAGCATGTGCACCTGAAAGATTATGGCAGCCAGGTCTTCGGCAATCTGGCTGAGCTGAGAGTTCAGCCGCCCTTCAGAAGCGCGAAGATCATGCTGGCCGACGACATCTGCAGGACAAGAGGGAACAGGTGGAGTCTCCTCAACGACCACCTCCTCATAAGACGAGGAGTCATCCATGTCTTGAGACGCAGCACTCTCAGAGGCATCCATCTGAGCTGACAGCACGAGTGCAACCCACCCGCCCCTAAAAAGAATTTTTCCTGCCCACTTGAGCAAGAAACCTTGCATTCGGATCGTCATTCAAATGCCCATGTTTCTCAATGCTCATGCGTGAAAGTAAAAGAGCAAATCGTGAAAAGACGGAAATCTCATGAAAATCACCATGTTCAACCTTGTCGTAACACGACAACGGTTGTTGTGAAAAAGGAAATAAGGTGATAATCACAAGTGATGAAGTCACTTCACAGCCAACAAGATCTCATGGCCACGCTTGATTATCTCACGACCTAGGAATCCAATCCTGCCGTCCTCATCCAAGCGTCCAGTCAACTTGACCTTAAGACGGCCCATGAGAAAGTCTAGAAGCTGTTGGTTTGCCTCTTTGGTTCTTGTGGCTAGCAAGATGTCGTCGACGTACACAAGACAAAGCACAAGGATGTCTCCCCAATACCCTTTGTACAACGTAGGTTCAATACGCGAAGGAAACAACCCCAACTCAGCAAGAAGTCCAGCAAGGTGCTTCTGCCATGAAAGGCCTGCCGATCTCAAGCCATATATGGCTTTCTCCAAGATGACATAAACCTTAGAGCCATCAAGGTTCTGAAAACATCCCGGCAACTCAAGCACGGTATCAAGAACCAACTTGGCATACAAGAAGGCAGTCGAAACGTCAAGCCCCCAAAGGACCAGCGTATCCTGGACAACACGACAGATGAAAGCCTTGAAGGCCTCCACAGAAGCAGTCTGGCTCGCAATGCCCAAGTCAAGCGCCGAAGGTTGATTGAAAGCAAAGTCTTTTGCAACGAGGCGTGCACGCACGATGTGCTGATCGTCAACATCAACCTTGTCAGTAAAGACAAAACGCGACTTAATGATCTTGGCACCTGTCTCCTGGCAGTGGGTTTTGATCTCATCATAGGTGCGTGCGTTGCCGACACCCAAGTTGTGCATGGCAGACACTTCTTTCTGCATGCCAACCCACGTCTTCTCAGGATCCAAAGGCAAGCCACTGACATCATCAACCACAGAAGTGGGCTTGATGACCCACACCTCCCGATCACCGAAAGGCATGGTTACCCCCTCATCGGGGTTACTGTGCTGAGCGGGTGCTTTTCTCTTAAGCTGTGCAGCGAACAAGCCAACCTCACCGTAATCAACAGGACTCAGGTGATGCTTGTGGTCCGGAATCACTGAGAACATGAACTGAGGCATGCTCGTACTGTCAAGAACATCCGGAACCTGAGCTACATCCATGGGCACGGTGTAGTCATCCATATCAACCTGATCCATCTCAACGTCTCCGCCAGGGAGATACTCCTGAGGGAGCTCAGAGTCTTGGCCTGCTTGCAATGGTTCTGGCACCAAGTGCTGCAGATCCTCAGGAACAGGAGACCCAGGAAGGCTGGGCTCGTAGTCCAAGCTCTCTTGTTCAAACTCCACAACTTCAGGATTCGGGTTGATTTTTACTTGAGGCTTGTCAGGGGCTTGTTGCTGTTCCGGATTGTCAAGATCACCGAGCGTATCCCTGATGTAATCACGAAAGCGAACTTTGCAACGCCTAGAGTGGAAGCGCGATCTACCTAAGCATCCCGGACAACGTGCCGTTTTGTTGTTTTCAGGCCATTCAGGCGCCGGTTGCGGCAACGGGATTGCTTTCCTCGGTAGGGCTACCCCTGGAAGGCTTTCATAATCAGGCTCATCAGGATTAGCCTCGGCGATAGTGGGTAACAAGTTCGATGAGAACGTCACTGGGTAGGCCATCTTGAGAGCCCGAGCGACGCATCTCTTCATAGACCCATTCGAGAGTCTGATCATGCAGTGATGCCCTTGCCCACCAATCACAGGGCCGAGATAGGCACCAATGTCGTATCTACCATCAACTTGTGATGCAAGGTGCTCTGGGGGCTGAATGTACATGATGCAAGCAAAAGGAAACAACAAGTGAGGCGTGTGACTCTCACCCAAAGCTCGCTGCAAAGGACTCAGCAGTTGACCCTGCGACGTTCCGAACCGGTTGTGTGAAGCAGCAGCGTGGCTGTGAAGCAATTCCATCGCTTCTTCATTTGCCAACAGTTTCAGACCACTCACACCCTTGGCGTGAAGCTCGTTGGCCAAAGCTGTCTCTTAAGCGTTCGGATTGCTCTTTCAGCTACCGGGGCGTGCCTATTAGGCGAGGTTTTCGTAGAAACTGAACTCCCACCTGTAACCTCAACGACCTCGGCTGCCATGGCTGCTACAAGCGGTTCTCCGTCGTGCACAACATGAACTTCTTTGAGACCGAATGATTTGAGGAATCTGACTAGCTTACCCACGGTGATTTTTCGGTTATCTCCCACACAAGTAGCGGCTGTGCCTATACAATACGTCGGCACGTGCACCACAGCGATCAATCGGATGCCTCGATACCAGTATTGATCCATCTGCACCTCAAGTGGGTCGACACTTTTGCGTGTTCGGGCGGGCGCTAGCCCTTTAGACCTTACACAGCTAGGACAGCCACCCCAGTAGGGGGTATGACCCTGACGTTGGTGGCGCAATCTAGCTTCGGCACCGATGTTTTCGGGGAGAGCTTCTTCGGGGTCTACCGGGGGTTTGGTGTTGTTTGGGGTGGTTCTTTCTAACCCTTCACGGTCATCACCATCATCCTCAAAAAGCTGCTCTAGCTCTTCAACACCAACGGCACCACTCACATCACCTGAATCAAGCAATGGGCGACCGACCGACATGCACGCTGAACTACCTACTGGCACGCAAGCTGCAAGACCAAATGGCACACAAGCTGCACGACCTATCTGAACACACGCTTGAGACCCTACCTGTACACATGCTGGGCAACCTACTTGCACACATGCTGGGCAACCTACTTGCACACATGCTGGGCAACCTACTTGCACACATGCTGGGCAACCTACTTGCACACGCTCTCCTACCGCAACGCTTTGCGAAAACACTTGTTGAGCATCCCCTTTTGCGAGCGGCTCGGAAGAGAGCTGGCGACAATCAATCAAAGATCCTCGTCTGAGGATATCGTCTCGTAGTCCTCCAGGTCGACAACTGGCACCATCGGCGCCGGCTTCGCTGTAAGATGTGCCGGAGGAGGTACCGACCGTTCTGCTGGCGTGGGTAGCTCGATGGTGTAGTGAGTGCCCACCACCGCCCGGGGTTTCGGCACACCTTTGGGCGTTCCTTTCGACACTGGCAGCAACACCCTTTTCGGCAATGGCACCACGATCGGAGGCCGTGCCGTTGGCAAGGGTGCTGTGATAGGAGCCGAGCTTGGCCGTGCCGTCGGCATTGTAGTGGGTGCCGAGCTTGGTCGTGCCGCCGGAACCGGCACAGAAGTAGGTCTCGCTGTCGAAGTAGGCCGGGCCACCACCTGGATTGGCGGCGGATAAGGATGGTACC